GGTAAATGGTGGATCATTTTACATCGACAAACTGGCTCAGCCCCCTATTTGTGATTCCCGCTACTGTAGCACGGACTAAACATGAGTCTAAGAACTTCACAAAATGAAATACGTCATAAATAGATCCTCGTGAACAATGTACTTTACGACTTACCTTAGTCCACTCCTTATCGTAATCCTTAATACCATCGTCATAACGATGCATATTGTCAAATTTTTACGTCGGTGACGAACTGTTAAGAGGCTGTCCGCGTAAGAACGGATAAGGCAAATTTCGATCCTGCACAGATTTTCCTAAGTTTTTCATTGGAAGTCAACAATTCTATCCCATGTACAAATATCACATTTATTTTGATCAATTTTATTTTTTTCATTTTTTACGAGACAATTTTAAAGGTCACCCCAAAACTGCTCAATTTGCCTTCTGTGACCCCTCTAATTAAGCTATAAATATCGAGCGCTACCAAATCCTGTTTTCCCAATCTAGAAAGCTGATTATTTTACATATTTAAGAATGAATTTATTTCAATACTTCGTAGGTAAAATGATTGCATTCTGTAAAACTTTTACCAAGTTATGAAATTTTCAAAATACCTTATCGTAAGCATTGAAATTTGTGAGGAGTGAGGTACATGCGGTTGAAAACTATTTTCTCTTATGTGGGACCTGATTTGGAGTCAAGTCTATTTCAGCTTAAAAATGCTTAGATACAGCAAGTTAAACATAGAATAAAACTTTTGGGCACTCCTCATCCTGCGCCGTAGAGAGCTTTGTGAATTTCATAAATATTCGCTGTCGTGATCGAAACCAACGATAACTTAGTCCGACCAGCAGACAGGTTTGTAAAGATTAACAGCCCTAAAACACTTAAAAGTGCTGGAAAAATTATCTGATGGAGTATCAAGATCGATATTAATCATCATTTTGGCCTTTTTTTTTTTAACGAAATGAAAATACTTTTTAATTCCTATATGCAAATTAACTGCAGCCTCCTGGCTGCAGCGATCGTGTTTATACGATACACGTCACAAACAGTTTCCGTAACAACATTTAGCCATTCAAAGAAGTGTTTTTAAGAATGTGGAAACTCAATTGTTTTATCCTTTCTTGAATGCATTACGTAAAATTTCAAGAGCCATTTTCTTTGAACACAATGCGCTGACGGAATCCAGTTTGTTTTGATAAATAAAGTTGTTCATTTCGCTCAAGTGTTTTTATCTCGATAAAACACGGTCCAACGGTTTATTAATATCGGGACCGAGAACCACCTTAAAACCAAATAATAAATAATTAGCGGTTGGTTTGTACATTAGAAATAAGTATCATATCACGCTTACGCCGTTGTATTTGAGATATAGGTGTACTGAAGAACAAACAAGGAGGGAGAGCTTTCTTGCAGTTAATAAATTATGCAAATTAGCTACAGAAAGTTATGTCATGTGTAGTCCAGGTCACGTTTTTTGTTTGGCGTTTTCTTGATGACAAAGAGTTGTGTATTTTGTCTCCACTACACAACAAATAACACAGTAGTGTACACCAAATAAGTTTATTAAGGGAAGCCTGCCGAGAACCAACCCGAGGCATATATAGACTGACAAAGAATTGGGCAAGACGCACAACCAGGTGCTTGAGGAGAAGATACATCATCGTGTTCGCATTGATATAACCAAAGTCGATCATTTCGTCGAGTTCATTAATCGCCCATACTTTTATCAAGACGTGTCTTACGGAACTAAATTCCTTAAGCTAGACAGTGGCGAAATCATCGAGATGCCGAACGTGGTGCGTACCGTGACGCGGTCTACGATGATTAGCCAGTACATACAGTTCTGTCAGGAGGAGAGGTTTGAACCTCTCAGTCGCACCACTTTACTCAAGATCCTAGAAGTCAGACGAGCCTCACAGAGAAAGTCGTTACAAGGCTTCGACAATACTGCTGCCGATGGCTCTGCTGGTTTCCAGAAAATTGAAATGATTGTCGATGATCTAGAGAAAGGAGGAATGAATAGGCAATGGTGCCCTGAGGTTAAGGAAAGGCTTAAAAGTAGAAAACGCCACTTGAAGACCAATTATCGCGTTCACTGCAATAAAAAGGAAGCTTTATGTCCTGATCATTGCCGCAAGTTCGCTTTAAGTGACGAACAAGATCCGACTCCCAGGAGAAATGCTTCCATCAAAGCATAGAAAACTGTAAAGAGTGTAAAAATCCGCGAAATGTCTTAGTTAAAGTCGAAGACAAAGTTCGAGGTCCATCTTGGATCCCTTACGGCAGTGAACATCGAGACGATCTGCTATACGACTTCAAACTGGCATAGACAGATATTTTTTAATGGAAGGATCATATTGTTCGCTCTTTAAACCTGGAAGCAGCAAAGCAAGATCAGCTGAAGACGATAAGTACTTATCCGAAATGTATGTGCACCGGTAATAATGGACTGGGCAATGAAGTTCCTTCAGCTTAAATATCGCGAGAAGCGGTCAGATTTGTTTGGCAAGAGAGGATTGGGTTGGCACATCTCGACGGTGATCACACGTGATCCGAACCTTGAAGGAAGACTAGAACTGCGGTCATATGCACATCTGTTTGACGCATGCCAGCAGGACTGGTTCGCCGTGTGTTCCATCATAGAAAGCACACTGAGAGAAATTAAGACCGAAAAGCCTCACATCCCCTGGGTTTATCTGCGGTCAGATAAAGCTGGCTGTTATCATAATAACTCCCTCATTGCTGCAGCAAGAGGAACTGGTAAGCGGGTTGGTTAAGTGGGTTGGTTTAGCGGGTTGGTTTAGCGGGTTGGTTTAGCGGGTTGGTTTTTGTGACTTTTCAGAGTCACAATATGGCAAGGATGTTTGTGATCGAATTCTGTGTCCGATGGAAACATGCATCCGACGTTTCTGCAACGAAGGACACGACATTCTATCAGTGGGAGACATGAGGAGGGCGCTTTCTGAAAGACCAGTAAAAGGAACATCCACATACGTTTACGAAGTTGACGAGGCCAAGATAACCCTAGAAGTGAACAAGATAGATGGTTTTAGCAAGCTTCACAATGTCCAGTTTGAGGAGAAAGGTATTCGTGAGTGGAGGTCGTACGGAATAGGGCGTGGTAAAGAAATCTCTTTTGACCAGCTGGTGTTAAAGGGCTAAGAGCACACTGGTATCACTGTTGGTGAAACATTTTCCCTCTTTATGATGCACGTGTTTATCAAGGCTCAGATCCTGTGACAAAGAGTTAAGAAGAAGAGAACGGCAGTCCACAATCACGCTGAAAAAACTCCACCGCGTTAATCATGAGAACCAACTAGTTCACAATCTAAAAAACTTTCACAAATAGTGGGACGAAATTTTTCCCCAAGTAAGGGTGAATTATTTTCCTGAAGAAAAACGGCAAAAGAGGTCTGAAAAGATTATGCACAAGATAAAAACACTTGCGCGAAATGAACAACTTAGTTGTCAAAACAAACATTATTCCCTTAGCGCACTGTGTTTAAAGGAAATAGCTCTTGAAATTTTACGTAAATCTTTCAAGAAAGGATACAACAAATGAGTTTCACGTTTCTTTGAACGGCTAAATGTTGTTACGAAAACTATTTTTGACATGTATTATAACACGAACGCATGAAGCTAATTTGCATATAGGAATTATTAACGAAGTATTTTTCCGGAAAGTTTGAGTCATTTCGTGGGTTGGCGCGAAAGTTGTTCCTGTTGTCGTTTCCTTTCTTTTCACTTTCTTTTAATGACGGCGACTTCCAGAGTCCTGTAGTTAGTCGCTACTTACACATGCATAACGGGGAGTGATAAGCCCGCAATAAAGTGCAGAGTTTTATCAACGTTTCGAGGTTTTGAAGAATTAAGAAGTGGGTACTAAAAGAAAGAGAGGAAAAAGGGAAGGAAGAAAGACGGCAGAAGAAAATGAAAGAAAGCGAGAAAAAAAAGGGAAAGCAAAGAAAAACTACTCATCAGCTATTTTCTTTGGACAAGGAAAGGAAACCGAGTTCCTAACGCACTGGAAGTACCTAAAAGCAACATGTGGCTCGAACAATCGAGATTCAAGGTCACATTTATGCATAAAACATCACGCATGTGACGAAACTGAAACTCGAAACTGAAAGACACGTCGACAAACAGACTTTTAGAATTGAGAAAAATGCTGTGTTAACCTTTCATGATCATAAGCTAAAACTTCGAATGAAGGGAATCATCTGCCTGATGATGTTTTTACGCCAGTAACTTTGTTTCTCAGCATCTTGATTGTGAAGGTAATCCTGCATCCACGCCTAGAGATCTCATCTGAGATGACGTCGTCAGAAAACGAGACTATCTCTTTGGATCATATCCATCCAAAACCTGCAAATCTTGGAGAACAACTCTCCATTACGGCAAGAAGAGATCTATTGACAGCTGCCAATCGTTCTTCTAGATCCCGCCGAAGAGTTATGGTCATTCTTGTTTCTATTGCAGTGGCAATTTCTGCAATCATCGCGGCAGTGTTCATTGGAAAATACGTTTCGGAATACCTTAGTGGTGATAACAGGAAAGGTGAGTATCAGATGCCACTCAAGTTTTGCTGTTTATTCAGAAGTCAGTAATAAAAGCCACGTATTTGAACAAAAGATAGAAGTTGGTCGAAATTTCAGCACATCGATGGCCATTGTCGATGTCCTAGTAGTAGAAATTAATCGTCTCATTCTCACGTTACACCACAAGATAGCAGACAAAATTAATCAATAGATATATGGACAAGACGATAAAGTAAGTATTCCGTTTAATCATGTAAATGGTAAGCCAATAAAGGAAACATGTAGGAGCACTTTCGTCCGCGTTGTCCAAACTCTGCCAGATTGATTTTTCAAATTCGATATCAAAAGCTTCGTAACAGGAAGATAAAGGGAAAGTAAAAGAGAAATATTAGGGAAAAATTCAATCTGAGACCTTTCAATACATATCGATCGCTCACTTAAGAATGGTTTTGACTTGTCGCTTTCCAGTTCTGCTAATGCTGTGCCAAATGTTTTCCGGACTAATCGCACAGCACTGCAGTCGTCAGGTTTCCGTGTATGAAATGATGCTTCAACGACGCATCTTCAAGATAGTCGAGACCTCTAACACACTTGAGTGTCTTAAGGCCTGTAACGACGAGAAAAGATGTCAAAGCTTCAACTACGTCGTTTCCAAGAACATCTGTGAGATGAATAACCGCACTAAGGAAGCCAGACCTGAAGACTTCGTCCCTGACTCTGATCGGTATTATTACGGAAGAGTTAGAAACAGAGGTTTGTTATTAGCAGGAGAAAGAGAGAAAGTAAAACATTTCGAGGGAGAGATGCTGACCTTTCTGCTATAGCTGAAAGCAAGCGTTGGACAATATTTTTTATCGTTATTTGTACCTTCGAACAGAAAGTAAGCAACGGAAATGTTTTATTCATTATCATTATCTAGTTATTTAAAAATTTCTTACACATTTATTTATTTATTTATCTGTTTCTCTATTTGTTTGTATTTTCTTATCAAAATCCTTTACTTTTTTCTTCGTTTAAGTTTTGTGAATCATCCGCAACTGTCAGTTTCTTCTTTCAGAAAAGTTACTGTAAACATATTCTTGTCATTGTTCAGTTCCACTGGGATCCATTCCCGAGCTTCCTGCTGAATCGTGTAAAGAAATTAAGGCCAGTGAAGGAGAACAAGCGGTCAGCGGCAACTACTGGTTTAAATCAAATCTACTTAAATATGCCGTTTTGGTTCACTGCGATAATATCTGTGAAAACGGAAGGTAAAGCATAAAATTGCAAAGTGAAATCTAAATCAATCATTATTCATTATTTAATTCACTGATAAATGCAATCATTTATTTTCCTCACTCACTCGTTCAATTTCTCCCTGAATGAATGCAGGGAATTTTCAGTTTCGTTCCTTTCTTTAAAATTATTATAATAATAATGAGATGGTTATGGAATTTAGCAGTGGACATTCCACAAGGTAGCCCCTCTTTGAAAAGTTGGTTTTTGTGGAGGGAGGAAAACCAGAGGACCCGGAGAAAGATTTGCATAGCTGGGACGAAAACCAACAACAAACTCAACCCACACGTGACACCAGATCTGGGAAACAAACCTGGGCCACGACGTTGGGAGTCGAGCACTCTCACCACTGCGCCATCCCGGCTCCTCCAGAAAGAAATAGAATTTTGAACTAATTGTTTACGTCACAACTGTTATTAAATTTGTGCTACAGATATTAACGAGTGCATTCATGGAATCCATGACTGTCTCGACGAATCGGCAAACTGTTTTAATAGGGTTGGATCGTACAACTGTGTTTGTAAAGATGGTTACCAGGGCGACGGAAAAACCATTTGCACGCCAGAGGGTAAGTAGTTTGGCAGCACGAAAGTTATAAATTGTGACGATGAAGAGCTTTAGTTTTGCTTTATAGTTTTTTTTCTTTTATATAGCTATTTAGAATGTTTAGGCTACTCACTTCTGACCAGTGGAACAAGGAAAACCACCTACGACACACCCCCGGGAAAAGAATCTTGCGACAACGACCTCAGTGCGGGCTGGTTTCGTTTCCAAGGAGATGCAGGAACGAAGATGCCAACCAAATGTGTACCTTACAAAAAATGTGGCACTGACTCCACGGGTTGGCTAGACGGTTATCATCCAACAGTAGCTGATGGAAAGGTCAGGAGGACGGTTTGCTTTCGGGATCGTACAGACTGTTGTAAACATCCATTTTATATTAAAGTGAGAAACTGTGGATCTTTCTATGTTTACCAACTAACGTCACGAACATCCTGCAACCAACGCTATTGTAGCACTGACTGATAATTATGCTAGGATCAACCACAGAAAGGTCTAAAAATAACAGAGACTAAGTGAAGAGGGGGTAGGAAGGAAGGAGGTGGTATCGTAATTTGATCTCAGTCATTGATAAAGACTCAATAACGTCAACTCAGAAGGATCTAATCAAAGATAAATAGATTGAAAAGAAAAATTCCTAAGAAAGATGGAAGAGCGGCCCCACTTTAAACTTGCCATTGTAGATCATCGTCTAAAGGGTAAAGTTAGCTTTACTAAACAGCAATCCAGGTTGTTAGAGTCCAAAATGGCGGAGAGCACATGATTATACTTCTCAAATGACTGTCTTAATCCAAAGTGATATAATTTATAGCACATAATCTAGCCAGGGGAAATTCCTTGTCATCTTTCCTTTAAGTACTGAGTTATCAGGGGCGCTCTCCTCTCCCTTCTTGAACGCAACCGGTTAACAAACAGCATCTATCCCAGAGCAAATGTGTAAGTTTTGCATTTCGACGTTCAACCATTGTGGCACAATTAAAGGAGGAGAAGGCTGGGTGAATAAGGCTCTCTTGTGTTTCAGTATTTTGAGAATTTGAACATCACTGGATAGACTTGTGCAAATTAGGCTTTGAAAAAAATTTATCGGTTGTTCCTAACCTGTTACATACGCTGTTGAGGAACCTTGAATTTCATCAAATCGTAGTAAACTTATTAATTTCAATTATGGGTCAACACACATTCCTTGACCGAATATTCGCCACCAAAGTTTGGGAATATCCCTAATAAGATTTTCTTGCGGATTGTTTCCTAAAATTAGGGGGAAGCAAATTGTTTTGTTCATAATGCTACGAGAAGGGTATTTTCGATTTTCAAATGTAGGCTTTTTATGAACACGCTGCCAGAAAGAAAATTTGTCAAAATAATTACGGAATGGTGAACCTTTGACTGAAACATTGGGCCTGTTGTGGTTCTTTACATGGATCATACACGGCGAATTCTTGAAAGAGTTCGTCGAGGGTAAATTTTGATTTAAGTTTTCCGTTAAAATGTGTAAGTTGTAATAAAAAAGACCACATTTCGATGTTTGCTTAACGTCATTATAAAGTCAGTACAAAAAACTAAATATACATTGTATGAACACAATAGAAAAAGTAAAACAATCATTAAATAATCATATCAAGAAGAAGAAAAAATATAAAAATAGAGCGATGAAGTATTTGCAGGTGACGTTAAGTAAAAACTTCACCACTAACGGAGTCCATTTAAGTGTTAACTTTGGTCTCAATACCTAATTAGGAGAATTTAAAAAATCAGGCAGTCAATCTTTGATTATGTTGTTTAATGCGTTGCTATAGATGTCGAGGTGTGTACACAATATATTTTGCGTCGATAGTTTACGGGGTTTTTTTTACTGTTTTTTGGTCAAATCATATCTCAAACTTATTTTTTTGAGGATTTCAGCTCAATTACTAGATTTAGGCAAACAATAAAGACTAGTTATTAATGTTATCAACAGAATCGTCTAGATGAGTTTCCCCCGCAGTAATTCTTGTAAATAGTAAATACTGAATATTTAGCTAAAGGTTTAGTTTAATGTAACAATAGTGTAGCAGAATACGCTGGGCAAATGTTGCCCAGAGTAACTACCTTAATCTTAATGAATTGTAAGTTGTCCACATCTAAGGCACAACCTGTACGTCTGCAGAATTTTTATCTGGCTCTTAATCATTATTACTTCTGAAGATATTTTGCCTCCATATCTTATTAAAACATTTCATTGCAAATATTACGTTTACTAATTATGGCCGAAACGAGGCCATGATTAATTAGAAAATATGTAAGATCATGCAGAATTAGTTTTTTAAAGATATTATCAAAGATATGGAGCTTGTATTAGACCCGGTTCTCAAAACTCTGAATGTTGAACTACGGATGAACTTCCCTTGTTTAATAATAAATGAGAATCAACTGACAATCATGAAAATGTTTCCTTAAATAGCAGTTTAAATTTTCTATTTTGGAAAAAATACAAATTCCAGATGGGGAACATTAAAAACAAAAGACAGGAAAATAACACGAAAGGAAAAAATTTAAAAACCGCTTAAACTTGCGAAAAAATCTGAGTTTGTGGTTGGTTTGTGAAGTTTTGTTCATGCCAGGAGTCTCATTGGACAATTTTTCGGAATGATTAAGCAAACTTGTTAAGCATATTGTCATTTTAGGTCTCTTTCGGGAAATTATGATGTTAGCAGTCTGATTCTGTATCGCTGAAGTACTACGTGGAAAGATAATACTGCTTAGGGTAAATAAAAAAAAAAAAGATTTTAAAAATTTTTGGGAAAGAGACTTTCGATCAAATGAAACGCTCAGTCACACAAAGAAGGAATAATTTTCCACAGTTAAATTAAGTTTAGAGTAATTAGTTTTATGCCATAAAATGCTTGAATGCAGCCTACATCCCCCTTCCTTGTTTTTTTCTTTTACTCAGAATCTCACAACGTTAATGAAATACTTTTTTTCAAATAGATAATTATGAAGGCGTAACACTGAGGAAACGTTTGGAGAATAACCCTTAGCCTATGGGTAGGCAAAACCCACGACAGATGAGGTGAACAGCCTAACGTACGTGCGAAAAGTCCGTGAGGTGTCTTGCATAACCATCACTGCATAATTAGATTTTGACAAAAAACTTAATGTTTTACAAACAAAAATTAAAGCATTCATATCATTTTTCGCTAGTGCCCATGAAATCTCATATAAATCTAACATAATTAGAAGAAAAGGAAATGAATTAAGAAAAAGAGAGAAAAATATTACCTGAAAACATTTTTAACATAAACCATAATCTCTTGTTTGACCACCGTCGCGCACCCAGCAAATTCTTAAACTACAATTTTACATCTTTTTACGAATACCATTGCCTTTAAAAAGGAATACAGTCCACCTTCTTTAAAGAGGCACTTCTGTGGAATTTATAAGTATTTTTCACTTAGTTTTGTAAGCTCCTGTGTAATAGATTCTGCAGGAGTGTCATGGAACAAATTTTATCTCGGAAACTAAAAAATAATACATGAGAGAAGTTCAAAGGAACATGTTGGCAACAGAGTAAAGGAAAGAATAACCTAAAATAACTGATCAGGAAAAACAGGACGCTTTGATAAAGCTTAAAGAAATGTTTATTACTAACTTTTGTACTCAGAATCGCATAGCAATGAAGATAAAGCTTTCTTTTTCTAAAGGATTGCTTTGTTAGGTGTAACAATTAGAAACTGTGGAGACTTTGGGGAATAAGCCTTTGTTTTGCAACAGGCAGCTGGAATCTCTCACGCAGAAATGTGCTCATAAACGTAATGTACCCAACATCGCTGCCATCAATAGGGTATAACGAGGAAGTGGTGATGAAAAGACCACAAAGGATCATTTTAAAACTCTATTTCCAAACAGTTTTTGATTCTAAAATAATTATAATATTTGGGTACATGGAAAAAAAAACAAAAACAAAAATCAACCACCAAAGGAGAAAAAATAAAGCAGGTCAAAAATGAATGGATGATCAACATTCAAATATATCAGAAATAGGGACTGATCATACTCATGTGAAGCGTATTACAATAATAACTACCTCTGTCTCTTGTGGAGATCCCGCATAGTGATCTCTTGTATTCAGTTGCTTGTATAATCTTTTGCCATGAAAATTGGTTGCGATATTAACTTGGTTAAAAACAGAATATTAATGAACTTCGATAACTTCCAAGGCTATCTTATTTCCTAAAACTTTACACAACTTATTCTTTTATTTCGTTTCTTGAAAATTTGCCGCTTAAAATTATCCGCACTAGTATGGTGTTGAATCAAAATAAATCAAATTGCCAACAATTTTTGGTGTTTAATAAACTTAAATAACGGTGACTCCCGAAAACCAAAGAGAGGAAATTTTCGACATACATTATTCATGACTGTGCAGCATAAATTCTACGTAGTGCATCAGTTGAAATGATCGATGACTGGACACTGCACGTACAGGGTTTCTTATTCAGTGAAGTCGCGAAAAACTGTTTCTAATCAAGACATTCAAAGCAGAGGTCGTTTGAATAACCCCTTATTATTTACACGAGCGTACTATTTCATAAGACATTCTAAAAATGGTTCTAATCCCATTGCTCCAAGTCATTTGCACTGCGGTTGTTTTGGTCCATGCTGAACCAGAAGGTAAGGCGCTCATCGTCTTTTCCTATCGTCTTGAGCGTTTCGTGTTTCAGTTTTTTTTCAAATTTTCTGGTGGATTCATATCAACGGAATATTAAAACTTTTCTCGGGTTTTCTCTGATCTCCCGAAGAGGAGTCATACTTATTTTTTCGACTACTTTATTGATTGGTGCGCAAATATCTCGAATCACTCTCATGTTTTTAAGAATCCTAACGATGAAACATACCCAGGACTATCGTCTTCGCGAAATGTAAAACCTCTACGTAAAATAGTTTTGACTAATTTGTACGTTGTGATATGATGTGATTGTGCAGAAAATAGAACTGATTTCAGTGAAAAATTATCAAACTGTTACTTGTGGTACCACAAGAATGACGTAAATAGACTTTCTTCAAACGGAACGCACGGTGATGCAATAGGGTTATGCAAGGTCAAAAACTATTACGCTTCTAGATTTGCCTCGGTAAATTCTTATTAATGTCAGTCGATTGAAAATTAAAGTAGCGTCAGCCACGATCAATAAGCCCATCCTGTCAAAGCTTTTCCCGATACCTTGGCATGAAGCGACCAGAAGGATTTCTAATTCTTCTCAGACGAATTGCCGTTTCATCGCAGGGTTTAACCCCAAGCATTCCGTCGTGTTTCCTAATGCTTAATTAGTAACCATTTGTAATTCTGGTTAGAGAGAACAATATCATTGTCGTTGCCTTGACTCTGGCTACTTCAAGCCAATATTATTTTACCTCATAGCTTTTCATGGTTTTTGCAGAAACATGTCGCATCATTCAATTCGTGCGCAAAGTAAACGAAAAGGCTCTTGAAGGTCACACAATTGCAACGATTAATTCAAATAATGTCGACTTTTGTGAGATCCAGTGTTTCCTTAACCACGATTGCGTCTCTTATAACTTTGGGCCGACTGAAGACAACGCTGACACATATGTATGTGAACTGAATAACTCAACGGATAACAAAAGATTGAAACCTAAAGCGATGTACGTATACAGCGAAACAGAGGTAGGCTGTTACTTCCATTCTGTTTGGCTGTAAGGTTTCTATTAATTCGTTTTCATTCCTTCATTCACGTATTCTTTAATTCGAAATAAATTAGGTCATTCTCTTCCTATTTCATTATGACACTGATTTATCTTTAGTTTATCATCTTGTTTTCTTATTTCACCGATCTAGGATTCCTGCCGATCAAATCCTTGTTTAAACAATAGCAAATGTCAGTATGGTTTTACAGTCAAAAGTTTCCGCTGTCTGTGTACCGTTGGCTTTACTGGAGAATTATGCGATAGGGGTAAATATTTCGATCAAGTAGGAGGGAAGGGTGACCGCATTAAATGTGGTTTTTGTCGACGTCAGTTCGTCATTGCCGGCGTGACGTCACATAGCAACATAGGACGCGTCTCGCTAGGAATTTTTTAGAGGACCCCATAGGTAAAAAAGGTAGAAATAAAAAAGCTTATAAAAGATAAGTTTGCGTTAGTATATTTTCTAAGTTGCCGTATGAGTGCATTTTCACATTAGCTAATACCTTGATCGCTCAGAATCTAAACAGGTTTTCGTCTCTTTTAAGATTCCTCCCTTAAAAATTTTGTGTTCCCAGATATCGATGAAAGCAGCCATGTCCACTTTAGCTAACGGCTTTACGACGCGGAATCTAAAGAGTCTTTTTTTTGCTATTAAGACGAACCTCTGAATAAATATCAATGGTAGCAGCTATATATTTGAGAGATGTTAATGCAAACTGTACCAACACTAATGGTTCTCATAAATGCACTTGTAAGGAAGGATACACTGGGGGTTGGACAGTCATGCCAAGGTACAACAGATTAATCTAAACAAATTTTGGCATTAGGTACGATCTTATTGACTTAGAATCTAAACAGGTTTTCGTATATATTAGGGTTTTTCTGGTAAATAATTTGTGTTAACGGATTTCGATGAATGTAAGAATAGAAGCCATACTTGTGATGCTAATGCAAATTGTTCCAACGCTAATGGTTCGTATCATTGCACATGTAAGGAAGGATACACTGGAGATGGACAGTCATGTCAAGGTGAAAAAGAATAGCTTACACTATTGAAACAAGCAGCTTTGCACATAAATAATTGCCTATGGAAATTAGCCCACATTTTAGATACCTGTTTCCACCCACCACTGTCGTATTTCTATTACATTACCTCTTATACATCACTTATGCTACTAGATATCGACGAATGCAGCGATGGAAGCCATGATTGTGACGTTAATGCGAATTGCACCAACACTAATGGCTCCTATAGCTGCACTTGTAATGAAGGATACTCTGGAAAAGGAGAGTCATGCCAAGGTAAAATTAGATTCGACTTAGAAAAAAGCAGAATAACTGTTCATCATTAATAATTGCCTTGTTATCCAACAAATTGCCTAAGATTTTTTTCTCTGTTCAGTTCCTCTTTGTAAATCTATCTAATCTAATCTTTTAGCGCATTAGATCATATCCATATGTATTTTGTGCTATTTAAGTAATAAATTATTATTTATTATTATTATCTATTGTGTTCACAGATATTGATGAATGTAACTATGATAGTCATGTTTGCGATGCTAATGCTAATTATACTAACACTAATGGTTCTAATAATTGCATCCGTAAGGAAGGATACATTATAAATGGACAGTCTTGCCAATGTCGATTAGAACAGCGATACTTTATGCCGTGAAAAATAGCTTTCTATCACAAGTATTGTAGGCTCATGATGAAGAGGCAACGTAATGATTTTCACACCTCGACCTCGTATTCCTATAAAGTTACGAGTTTCATTATATGCATACATTCACATTTTTCGAAGATTTAAAATATACACGCGGATATTTTACGAGTTGCTTGGTATTTTTCCGAGCGCGAAAGGAACGAGGATAATTAAGAGCAATAAGCAAGATTTCTTCTCGTTTTATAGGATAAACCATCGAATAAGAGATTTATAATTTAAGCAATACCTGGAATATTTTTCTCAAATATGCGGCTACGCTCGGATAACCCCCCCCAACCCCACCCTTCTCTCTTTCACTTTTTCAAATAGTATAGATACAAGGACAATCTGTCTCTACTGCCACACTTTTTTCCTAACTTTTCAACCTTCAACAACAATGCAATTAGTACAGCAGAATAATTTTACTTTCAATTTCAGATTTTTTTAATCTTCGTGTGCTTGCAGAGTTCCTTTAGGTATTATCTTTGATTTTGATTTTGATGTCCCATTGCTGAGGTAACTCAAGAAGCGCCCCTTTCGACTAATCGCCAAAGTGCCCATCCTACAAATAAGTGCCCCCTCCCCCTCCAAGTTTTAGCCGAAATTTGCAATAAGTGCCCAAGCGCTCATTGAAAATGTCTAATATTTCAATGATTGAACTACAGACAATATCGCCTGAGGAACTAAACATGTATCTTGCGGAGTATATTCACTCTTTTCAAGACAGAGAAGATTAGGAACCCTCAGGCTTAACATGCCTTGTTATCGAAAAAGGAAATTTATATGGTTTTTATCTTTCATGATCGATTTGTAAACTATTGTCTGTTTGACAATTGATTGTTATAAAAGAGGAATTTACTCTTCTTATGTACATGTAAACTATATAATAAACCTAATACATCACGTAAAGTCTGTCCGTAAGGTTTGTAAAGAATCGTTGCTTTAGATCAAAAATCTTTCTCGTTTGCTGCGTTCACTCCTACTGTTGTGGTTCTTTTTTAAAAGAACAGGAGGCGTAGATTGTAAAACACACACACGTTCTATTCCGGAGCAAGAAGAACACTACAATAAATCACACGTAAATAATGATCAATGCCTATATTTTATATGCGGTGACCTGGGTACTAATATGATGACCGCTGGCCGGAAACGGAGGCCAGCCAATATTATGACACTCTCGATTTCGGATACTACGAGCTCGGGCATAGATATCATACAGACAGACTTTGCATGAAGTATTCTATATCTATATCATTTGTACTACCAGATATCGATGAGTGCCTCAGTGGCAGCCATGCTTGTAACGTGACTGCAAATTGTACCAACACTGATGACTCTCACAACTGCACTTGTAAGGAAGGATACACTGGGGATGGACAGTCATGCCAAGGTATAATCACTGCATTAGACTTAGCAAATAGAAAAAAAAACTATTTCCTCAAAAACTTAGAAATCTGATGTTTGTTTCTGTCGAGCAACGTTTTGGCAATTCATTTTTGTTCTTAGATATCAATGAGTGTAGCGATGGCAACCATGTTTGCGATGTTAATTCAAACTGTAACAACACAGAGGGTTCTCATATTTGTACTTGCAAGGAAGGATACACTGGAGATGGACAGTCATGTCAAGGTGAATAAGAGTAGCCCACATTATTTAAAACAAGCAGCTTTGCACAGAAACAATTGCCCATGGAAATTAGCCCTCCTTTTAAAGACCTGTTGTCACACACCACTCTCGTATTTCTATTACCATACTTTTTGTATTATGCTTCTAGATATCGACGAATGCAGCAATGGAAGCCATGATTGTGACGTAAATGCGAATTGTACAAACACTAATGGCTCCCATAGCTGCACCTGTAAGGAAGGATACACTGGAAAAGGAGAGTCGTGCCGAGGTAAAATTAGATTAGACTTAAAAAAAAAGCAGAATAACTGTTCATCACTAATAATTGCCTTGTTATCCGACAAACTGGCTGAAGAGTTTTTTTCTCTATTCAGTTACCCATTGCAAATCTATTGTATTAACAGATATTAATGAATGCAACGATGATGTTTGTGATGCTAATGCTAACTGTACCAACACTAATGGTTCTCATAATTGCATCTGTAAGTAAGGATGCATCAGAGATGGACAGTCTTGCCAATGTAGATTAGGACAGTGATACCTTATGTCGAGCAAAGTACCTTTCCATAACTAGTGTTGGCTTCGTAACTGGGCTAATGATCAAGAGGCAACGCAATGGTTTTCACGCCCCGACCTCGTATTTCTATTAAGTTACGTATATCATAATATGCATGGATACCCAATTTTCGCTGGTTTAAAATATAATACGTGCGGATATTTTACGAGTTTCTTAAAGTGTTTCGGAGCCCAGAAGGAACGAGAATAAAAGAAGGCAATTAGCAAGATTTCTTCTCTTACCATCGAATAAGAGATATATCATTCCACTATTATTATTTTTCTCGAATATGCGGCCACGCTCGAATAACCACCTCCCTCACTTTTTAAATAGTATAGATACAAGGAAAATCTGTTTCTACTGCCACACTTTTTTTTTATAACTGTTCAACCTTCAACAACAGTGCAATCAGTACAGCAAAATATTTTATTTTCAATACCAGACTTTTCTATCTTCACGTGCTTGCAGAGTTACTTTATGCATTATTTATTCTTTTGATATTTGCCCTATTGCTGAGGTAACTTAAGAAGCGCCCCTCTCGACTAATCGACGAAGCGCCGTCCTGACAAATAAGTGCCTCTTCCCCCTCCCCCTCCTAGTTTTAGCCAAAATTTTCAATAAGCGCACAAGCGCTCTGAAAATTTCTATTATTTCAATTATTGAAGTACACACAATATCACCTAAGGAACTAAGCATGTATCTTGCGGAGTTTATTCGCTCTTTTCGACTTTAAGACAGAGAAGATTATGAACATCAGGCTTAACATGACTTGATATTTTTTGCTAGCTGTCAGTGTGTTGCATTATTGCTATCGAGAAGGGAAATTTGTATGATTTAGATCTTTCAAGATCGATTTATAAACCATTGACTTAAGTCTGTTTAACAATTTATTGTCACTAAAGAGGAATTTACTCTCCCTAAGTACGTGTAAGCTATATGATAAGCCTAATACATTATGTAAAGTCTGTCCGTGGGGTATGTAAACAATCGTTGCTTTATATCAAAAATCTTACTTGTTTGCTGCGTTCACTCGCTCGATTTCCGATACCGCGAGCTCGCGCGTAAATACCATACAGACAGACTTTGCATGAAGTATTCTATACCTATATCTTTTGTACTAATAGATATCGATGAGTGCCTGAATCGAAGCCATGCTTGTGACGTGAATGCGAATTGTACCAACACTGACGGCTCCTATAATTGCACTTGTAAGGAAGGATACACTGGGGACGGACAGTCATGCCAAGGTATATTAGATCAGACTGTGCATCACACTGAGCTACTTTTAACAACATCCAGGGCCTGCCCAAAATTTACAAACATGGAAGGATACAATGTGATTTACAAATTCAGACATGGCAGGTGGAGTGTAATTAATTATAGAACTACATTTACGTTATTGTTATTCTCATGGTCAAATCCATTCCTGCGAATGCGTATGTATTGACCTCTGTATTGTGTATTTTGTCGATCAGTATTGATCTGAGACACGAGAAGCGATTGTGTTCACAGGCTACAAACTGTACTTAGATAAATAAATTAAGTTTGGTCGCTGAAATGTATTTATGTAGAAAATAAAAGCTGATGTTGAGCTTGGTTCTGGAATAAAAAGTGCAAGAATTTCGGTTCAAGCTGTGTGAAACGTTTGACGTTTATATTTCTTTTATAAAAATACTGAGCTTAAAATATTCCGTCTTTCTTGCACACTGAACGCTTACTACATTGCTGATACTAAAAGTATGCAGGGTACTAAATATAACTCGGTTTTAACTTGTTCTTTGCTCGTTACAAATCTTTACCATATCTCTCAACTGAGGACGTTCTATTCTAGACATTGATGAGTGCAGTGAGTTTCATGGCGTCACAATGAACAACTGCCATCTTGATGCCTCTTGCGTTAATACTCAGGGCTCATACAACTGCTCTTGCAATCCCACCTATATTGGGGATGGGTCTATGTGTGAAGGTAAGTTTTTTTTTATATTCAGCTTCGTAACTTGATAGTGTACGTCTTGTTAAATGTTACCAAAGAGCGCGCAGAGTTAGTAATACAAATATTAGATAAGGAGTGGGAAAGTACAACAGGGTAATTTAGTGTTGTCAAGTGGGTTGATAACGTAAATTGGCCACCGTAAAGAGTTTTACAGCGAATGCTCGAAACGTCAGCTTTGAAACTCTTTACAGTGGCTAATTTCCATTTTAACTCAGTTGATAAGGTAAGAAAAAAAGTTTTTGCAATTCTCATTTCACTTTGTAGCTGATCCTTGCTATTATCATAAAAACCTGAGTGAAGCCAATAGAAAGGTAAGTTACAGTACACCTTCCGGTTCAGAGTTGTGTGACTACCAACTACCTGTGGGATGGTATCGTTTTGTGGGAGCTGCAGGAACGAAAATGCCAACAACGCGTGTGCCAGCATACAGGTGTGGTACAAACTGGTCAGGCTGGTTGGATGGTGCTCACCCTGCAGTGGAAGATGGTGAAGTTTCCAGGAAGGTCTGCTTTAGCGATCGTTCTGCAGGTTGCAGATATATAATCAACATTTTAGTTAAAAATTGTGGATCATTTTACATCTACAGGTTTGCTCAGCCTAATTGTAGTTCGCGCTACTGCAGCACGGACTAAATCTGAGTCTAATAACTTCAAAAAATGAGACAAGTCACAAATAGATCCTTTACGACTTACCGTAGTCCATACCTTATTGTAATTTTTAATTCCATCGTTATAACCTCAGGCTGGTTGGATGGTGCTCATCCTACAGTAGAATATGGTGAAGGTTCCAGAACGGTCTGCTTTAGCGATTGTCCTACAGGTTGCAAATATTCAATCAAAATTTCAGTTAAAAATTGTGGATCATTTTTCATCTACAAAATTTTTAAGCCCCCTGGTTGTTTTTCCCGCTACTGCGGCACAGACTAAATCTGAGTCTAATAACTTCACAAAATGAGACAAGTCACAAATATATCCTTGTGAGCAATGTACTTTACGACTTACCGTAGTCCACTCCTTATTGTAATCGATAATACCATCGTTATAACCTAGTGCATATTGGAAAATGTTTACGTCGGTAGCGAACTGTTAAATGCTATAAATATTAAGAGTTCTAATGATAGTGGGTATCAAATATCATTTACATTATTTACGAAGATATCTTGCCTGAAAAAAGATAAGCGAAAATTGGCAAATCCACCTAACCTTTCCATAACCTTGTACATTATTTAATAGCGTTTTACATTTTTTAACAAGTTGCTTTATTATTTCATCAAGAGTTCTATCACTATTGGACGAATTATCCTATTGCAATGATGCGATGAACAAGGAGCACTTTCCTGAAAAAGGAAGCATACAAAAAAGAACGGTTAGTTTGCAGACAAATGGAATCTTTCTATATCAACAAATTTGCTAAGTCATACGCGTGTAATTTGCGTTTCTGTGCCTCGAAGTAAACTGACTGAATAACTCGCCTTAAAGCTGTAACATTATTTACGAGGACTTATTGCCAACAGATTAAGTATTACAAAAGAAAACTGAAATAGAGAGGTCGAAGAAAGACGGGTATGTGGAATATTCATTTCAAATGCCTCAGTCCAATAGCTTTAAAGATAATAGCTGAACAGGGAAATCCAGAAAGCCTTTGGTTATTGCTAGGTACTTACGTGTTCTTGAAAAAAATATTGATTGAAGTCTGTGACTTTTACCACCTTAAAAAAAAATAAAGAATCAAGGACACGTGGTAAAAAGCTTACTAGGATATTCCATTTTTTATTCACAGCACATTTTGTATTTGTGGTGTTCAAAAATGTTTCGGCTTTATTAAAATAACATTCCCTGATTAAAGCCATGTGTCAAAGGTCGCCTACTATCCGTTGTCAATTTGCTATGCTATCACGATTACATTATGACTGCTATGAATTTGGAGCAAACGTTTAAATTAAAAATCATTGAAAAAAAAATTCATTTTTCATCCATGCTGATGGCTGTAACGTCCGAGCTCGAGGAGGGTTTGCTCAAATCTGGTGCTCAGACCCTTTCGAACCCATGGTCATCAGCGGATTAAGTTGTAATTTCGGTCCCAGACTCCCGTTTCCCCGTTCTTCGTTCCTCATTTCCGTTTCTCGCTCCCCGTTCTCCGTTTCCCGTTCCCCGTTTCTCGTTTTCCGTTTCCCGTTCCCCGTTCCTCGTTCCCCGTTCCCCGTTCCTCATTCTCCGTTCCTCATTCTCCGTTCCTCATTCTCCGTTCCTCGTTCTCCGTTCCTCATTCTCCGTTCCTCGTTCTCCATTCCTAGTTCTCCGTTCCTCGTTCTCAGTTCTTCGTTCTTCGTTCTCAGTTCCTCACTCTCCGTTGCCTGCTCTGAGTTTACCGTTCCTTGTTCCTCGTTACTCGATCTTCGTTGCCCGCACTCTGTTCTTTGTTGAAGTAACATCCCACTACTGACGATACAACAGTGGTCAGTTCAAATAACGATTTCCGAAATATCATAGTGCCGTGAGGGTTCTTATCGGGAAAAAGAATATTTGAATTCTCAGATCTACCCTCGATCGAAAAAAGCTTCAGACTGGTTCATACCCGGCGGAGTTTACTGGCCAGCTGTAAGGAATCCTCTCCGAAATTAGGATACAGCAGAAGAAAAAAAAAGATCAAAGTTACAAACCCCTCGGCAGACTTAAGGCAGATAATTCCCCGTCTTTTGGATATTAGGGAAGTTGGAATAACTGAGATAAAAAGTGAAGGATGCAACGTGATTCACTGTTTTACAAACAAAAATTTGCATTTCTGTTTCCATGTGTACGTTAGAATATCAGTAAATTAATAAAATTAAGTTTGGAAGAAAAAAGAGCCGAACAGAATCACGAACCCGATGAAATATTTCAAGAACGTCAGCCAGTCAGCCGTGCTCCCACATAATGTGTTCTTGATTTGGTTGACCCTGACAAAAAGAAATTTTTTTTTTTGTCGTAAGTTCTGTTTTTATTTTTATTTTTATTTTTATTTTTTCTTATCTAAACCTTTGTAAAATTTAAGTCGATTTTAGCTTACCAATCGATTCGTACCCAGCTCAGACCTTTCACACTCAGGGTAATTTAGTATTATCTACTGAGTTGATAACGTAAATTGGCCACCGTAAAGGGTTAAGTTTAAAACAGTTTCGAGCGATAGCCATTCGTCTGATCGCTCTGACGAAGGGTTAACGCTCGAAACGTCAGCTTTTAAACTCTTTACCTACAGTAGAAGCTCTTGATTGTTAAACAAATTCTCCTCGTCAGCACTATAGGTAATACATAGAGAATGGTATAGAAAATATGCATATATGATCGGTTTTCAATGTTAAATAGTAATATAATCTGCGATAAAGATTGCCCTCGGGGTTGTGGCTTGACTTAATGTCAAAGGCATATTTATATTTACTTACAAGAGCGTACAAAAAAAGGGGGGGGTTAAATCTTAGAAATAGGGTTTTGCCCTCACCACAAAGTATACAGAGCATTAAAATACAAAAGGACGATAGATACAAAATGCAATTAACAGTTTCTTGGTAGATATCTAATTTGGAATACATATCCTAGTTATGAGTGGCTTTTTATAATGTTTTCTTAGAGTTTACTGAGCCACCAGCCTCTCGACCTTCAAAGAATGACACAGATGTGGAGCAAAAGCAAACATTAAAGGATACAAGTTGTCTAACTAACCTTATCGCGGTACATGTGAGGGTTGATAGCCCGCCCCTTCTCTTCACTCCTTACCTTTTTCAAAAGGACAATAAAGAGCTCTTTACGATCGAGCCACCAGCAACTTGCCCCTTAAAAAAAACCAAAACAAAACAAAACAAAGGAAAAAACAAAAGCAAACAGCTAACCGTTCTAGCTGATTGACCAGCCCCTTACCCACCCCTGTCCTAAGCTTTGGTTGTTTTTTGCTCATTCGGAAAGTTTAGATGGGCAGTTACGATAAATACACTTTGAGGTAAAACTATTGATTAATCGCGTTAAATATGCTTATGAGGGCGTGGTCTAGCTAGATATCTTACTCCTTTAACGGGCCATTGAGTTGAACGCGTAACGGAACCAAATAACTTAATCGGAAATTTCCGTGTTATTTAGTTTTCAACACCGTATATTGCATCTCTAGTGTTCTGATAAATCCACTCAACTCCGGTTATCAGTTCACAATCATACTGAGTTGCTTTACATGGAAAATAATTAACCCACGTGTTGCTATGGGGAATTTACTTTTTGCTGGAAGCAATCACTTCTTCCGCGAAATAGAAAAAATGTAAGAGAAACAATAGTTAATTTTATCTCGGTGCACCCTCAAAATCATAACCCATAATTGATCATCGTTACACAAATCTGCTGCGGATTTAAAAGTGTCACTTACAGTGGTATAGCAGGACTTGCTTGATCTAAACCCTAACCCTAAGCAAGGTGGGTGATTTGTTGCTTCATTTGTTAAGTGTAAATAATTGGCAAAAGCAAATCACGCACAGACAATAATGTCAAAGATGTTTCCCCTAGGTCTCAATGTCGTCTATTAGGGAACAGATGCATGGAAACATATATAGATTTGTTCGTCAACTATTCATAATTCAACTAAACTTAAACATTGACAGTTTTTGCCGGTAGATTGTTCTGCGCTACTCCTCCTTCTTCGGGATCTTTCAATTTCCCATACCCTTAGCCAGTTGATAACTCGCGCTGGGTTGGCACGAAAGTTATTGGTGTTCTCGTTTTCTTTCTTTTTTTAACATATTGATGACTGCGGCTTTTAAAGTCCTGAAGTTATATTTTCATAACGGGGAATGATAAGCCCACAATAAAGTACAGTGTTTTGTCCCGTTTCGAAGTTTTTGGAAGATTTAAGTAATGGGCATTAAAAGAACGAAAAGAAGAAAGAGAGGGAGGAGGAAAAAGAAAGAAAGCGAGGAAAAAAAGGGGAAAGACATGAAAAACTGCTAAGCAATTATTTTCTTTGGACAAGAAAAGAGACCGAATGCCTAACGTAC